CATGCATCAACAAGGCACTTTCCAAAAAATAAGTCTGCGGCGGTCACCGCCTCTGAGGCCTGCAGGCAGTGACAGTGGGAGGAAAGCAGACTGCAGCCAGGTGGCTATGCTGGGGACCGCAGGCGGGAGAGGGCCGCGGGAGGGGTCGTCCAGGCCTGATGGGAAATGACTTCAGCACCTACTGCCCCTTAAACGCAGGGCCGCGACGTGCCTTTCAGTGCTTCTGAGCACTTTTCACGTGTTTTTCAGTTAGGCAGGGCTTTTTCCAATTGCACGTGGGCAATGCATTGCTGGTACTGTACAGGCTGGAAAAGCAAAGCATCCCCAGCCTTGGGTCAGGCTGGTGGCCCCATTTCTATCCCTCGATTTGGATGAATGCTGAATATTAAACTGGCCTGCCGGACAAAAGCAGGGCTCACAGGGGCCCACTCGCAAATTCTGTTTCACAGCTAGAGCTTGGGGGCTGCCCCATGTTTTGCTGACTTCAAGTCAGCGCCCGTTTTGGTTTCTGGCTGCTTATGAGAGCTACACCGATTGCTCTGGGGGAACTGGGGTGGTTTTGACTGTCACAAATCCTGCTCCACATTCAGCTAGTGATGGGTCTACACGCCACCCACTTCCATGGTCCTCGGGAGGCCCTTTGGCTTTTCTTGTGCCTTAGGGCTTCCAACTGGACAAACTGAGCTAAAAGGGCTGGCCAGGAGGTTCTCTGTAACATGGGCCTCTTTCTTTCTGGGAGTGGGTAGCTGTGGTCTTTCTGGTGTCATTAACCAGGGGAATGAGAATGTGAGACAGTTCCACAGAGAACAAATGGGAGCCTCTAAATGTCAGCTGATGACACACAATATGGGGCAGAAAACAGTACCAAGGAAATATATTGATTGTGCACAGCTGTTCTGCAGAACTATTAGGGAAAAAATTCCGGTGGGTAGGCAGGTGGTTTTTGGGAACCTGTGACAATGTTTCTCATCTGACAGTTTCACCTGCCTCTTGTGATCCCGTCACTACAGCAGAAAGGAACAATCAAGATTTTCTCTGGAGTTCTGAGCCCCCCCGCCCCCTGCCAGTCAATCCTTGTTTAGAGTGGAGGGATCCTAGATCAGGGCCTCAGAGCCCCAGGCTGCATGGCGGTGCTACTGGACACCCACAGCTCCAGACTTTACACCTAATGCCTCCAAGGGCCTCCCACTGGCTCCCCCAGGCTTCCTGGTCCATGGCCTGGCGGACGCCGTCTGCATTTCCCTAGGGGCCGCAGCTCTGAGTGCCCACCCATGCACCCCAGGCCACTTCCTGGCCCCTCTCCCCACCTGGCATCCTTAATTCACTTCGGCACTTTCTCTGGGCACATATTCTATCCCTTTAGTAAGCCCCTGTAAGCAGCCACACAGAAGTCTGAGCTGAAGCAGCAGCTCTCCCATGGTTACATGGCGGTCACCACACCGCATGCACTGTTCACGGCCTCGCTGACCACACACAGTCACCACACCACGTGCACTGTCAACAGCTGTGACCACCACACACGGTCACCGCACCACGTGCACTGTCAACAGCCGTGACCACCACACACAGTCACCGTACCACGTGCACTGTCAACAGCCGTGACCACCACACACGGTCACCGCACCACATACGCTGTCGACAGCCGTTACCACCACACATGGTCACCACACCACGTGCACTGTCAACAGCCATGCTGACCAAACATGGTCACCACACCACATACGCTGTCGACGGCCATGATGACCACACACGGTCACCACATCCCGTACACTGTCAATGGCCATGATGACCACACACGTCACCACACCATGTACACTGTCAATGGCCATGACAACCACACCCATCACCAAACCATGTGCACTGTCAACGTCCATGACGACCACACACTGTCACCACACCACGTGCACTGTCAACGACCATGACGATCACACACGGTCACCACACCACATGCACTGTCAATGGCCATGTCGACCACACATGGTCACCACACTGCATGCACTATTGATGGCCTTGATGACCACACACTGTCACCACACTGCATGCACTGTCAACGGCATTCCCGACCATGCATAGTCACCCCGCCACATGTCGATGGCCTTGCTGACCACACCCGGTACCACACTGCGTGCAATGTGGACGGCCTTGATGACCACACATGGTCGCTGCACCGTGTACAGTGTCAATGGCCTTGCTCACCACATTCGGTTATTTCACTGTGTGTGCCGTGGACGGCCTTGCTGACCACATGTGGTGGTCGCTGTGCTGCGTGTCCTGTCGACAGCCTTGCCAAACATACACAGTTACCATACCATGTGCACTGTGCACAGCCTTGCCCAGCACCTCCCACCCCTGCAGACCACCTAGGCTGTCACTCGGAGGCCAGCAAGCCCTGAGTCCAGACCCAGTTTCTAACAGTCTATGAGCCAAGAACAGTTTTTACATTTTTAAATGATTGGAGAAAACACAGAATATTTCATGATGTGAAAATTACAAGAAATTCACATTTCCGTATTACAAATAAAGCTTTACAGGAGCCCAGCACGCTCGTTCTGTTACGCTGTCCCATAGCTGCTTTGCACCACAAGATCAGAGTTGAGTTGTGGCGCTGGTGACCATATAGCCTGCAGAGCTGAAAATAATCACCATCTGACACTTTACAGAAAGAATTTGCCAACTCCAGGTCTACTAGAGCTTCCTCTGACTCTCTGGTTCTGATAATTTCCATTCAGGAATCTACAAAGAACTGCTCCTTCCATGTTCGTAACTTGAAGGGATTTGAAAAGGACGCTGTCCATGCCAGCTGCACACAGCACATTGTCCGTCCAGAAGCACCACTGTCTTCCTCGTGTGCTCTGGACGCTCTTTCTCTTACCACTTCAAATTTGTTCATGGGTCTCTCCCTCTCATACACTGTTAGCTTCTTTAGGTCAGGCACCCGGTTACATCAGTCTCTATTCCCAGTGCACAGCACGGTGTCGGATACAAAGCTGGTAGACAAAATACTGTGGTACGCCCACTCTCTGTTCGTTTCCTTTGAACCACCCTATCTGCCTGGAAGACAACTGATTTTTAAAACCACATATGCAGGCGGGGTGCAGTGGCTCACACCTGTGACCCTAGCACTTTGGGAGGCCAAGGCCAGCCTGCAACAATAGTGAGACCCTGTGTCTACAAGAAATAGTATTAAAAAAAGGTAAAACCATCTATGTGATATTAATACCTTATTAACATAAGGTATTATTATAATTATTATATTAATCGAAGGTGATTTACTAATATAAGGTGCTTTTTCAAACAGGAAATTTTTAAAATTGCACCCCATGCTACTGCTTCACAATGAGAGAACAGCACAGTTACACTAATGGATGGCAGAAGAACTGATTTCCATTTAATGGAACATGCCTACAAAAGAAACGGAACTAATACTCCTAAACAGACAATTATATCTTAATCCTAAAAACCCTACAGAGAAAAAATGATCTCCATTTTACGAGTAGGTAGACTGAGGCTTAGAGAATTTCAGCATCTGCCATAGGTCACACAGAAGCAGGGTTCTAACACAGATCTCCTCTTTAAGGCCTATATGCTTTCCCCGACAGTGCACTGTCCAGATGCGTATATCCTCTTTAACTGGCTCCCTTAGTGGAAACCATGTCCAGAACCTCGGTGGAATCATACTACCTCTTCTACTGATGGGGTCCTTCCCAGCATGTGTTCCAGCTTTTCTGTGTGACAGACCCTTCGGTTGTCTGGTGAAACGTATGAACACCTTCTTAAAAGATGACTCGTGCTACTTTATTCAAATATTCAGTAAAGAGACCTAGGGATGGGTTTAATAAAAATATAGTTCTAAGTACAAGTGACAGCAAATAAAAATAGCTGATTTCTATTGATGAGGTCACAGATGACACTGTTGTTTGTTAACTACTCGTAGATAAGGGAAAGGCTATCTTTCTGTTAGAGCTCAGGGGAAAATAAAGATCTTTCGTAGGTAGATGTGGTCTGCCAAGTGAGGGTACCAGATATTCAGCACTCACTGGGAATAATAAACCTTGCACACTGAGAGCTAAACAGACCACAACACATGTACACGTGGGCTGGTGAGTTAACATATTGTTAACCTCTGACGTATTAAGTTTTAGTTGTTAAAGGAAGTGACTCGTAGGACTTACAGAGCCACGGGATTGAAGTAGAAAAATATTGTGAGTGCACCCCCTGAAACGCACAGATAAGGACATTAGAGCTTAATTAAAAAGGGGAAGTGACTTGCCCGGGTCTAATACCAAGGGGGACTAACGTAATTGATAATATGTTACAAAATGCTGAGAAGTCAACAAATCCTGATACAATAAAAAGGTTTCTGGGCCAGATGAGGGGGCTCATGCTCGTAATCCCAGCACACTTGGAGGCTGAGGCAGGCAGATCACAAGGTCAGGAGTTTGAGGCCAGCCTGACCAACACGGTGAAACCCTATCTCTACTAAAAATACAAAAATTAGCTGGGCATGGTGGTGCGCGCCTGTAGTCCCAGCTACTCGGGCGGCTGAGGCAGGAGAATTGCTTGAACCCAGAAGGCGGAGGTTGCGGTGAGCCGAGATCGTGCCATTGCACTCCAGTCTGGGTAACAACAGCAAAACTCCGTCTCAAAAAAAAAAAAAAAAGAAAAGAAAAAGAATAAATATCAGAGCTCAGAAACTGAAGTTTCTAACATGACTTAATAACAGAAGATCTTCCTCTCCAACTGATTTGAAATGAAAGTCTTTTGTAACTTTGCCAATGGTTCAAGAATCAACTAATGTCAATGAATCTATTTTTTTCCCCTCTGGAAAGGCACGAGTTTACAAGAGCCAAGCTTCTTCCTCTCTATGTGTAATAACAAAAATGAACCGAAGCCCTGTAGTATTTTTATTCCTCAAGGAAAAAACAGGAACTTTCATTGTGCTTTAACATTAAAGTTATTACCTCGGATATTTTGCCAGCTTAGCACGGTGAAATCAGTTTCAGACAAAAGAGATCAACTGCTCTCTCTAGGAAATACTTAATTAGGGTGGTGCCTAGGAATGCCCAGGGGTCCTGTAAAGATCGTTTTTTCCCGGAGGATTTCTGCAGCATGCGGTCCTGTTGGACGGCAGGCATTCTGCTCCGATTTTTCCTGTTGCCTGGCTAGTGACCCCCTACAGGAAGATAGCGGATCAGCCAGGAGGGCGGAGCAGCCCACTACACATGTCTGGCTGCTCTTATCAACTTATCATATAAGGAAAGGAAAGTGATTGATTCGGATACTGACACTGTAGGATCTGGGGAGAGGGAAACAAAGAACCGCGAAAGCTGCTCTGTAGAAGCTGGCACAGCCCTCCCAAGCGAGCAGGACCGTTCTTCCCACTGCAATCTGACAGTTTACTGCATGCCTGGAGAGAACACAGCACTCAAAATCAAGTTTGCTACTGGAAAAAAAGGCAAGAGAAGACTTCCATTGACGGACCCAGCCATGGCAGCACAGTAGCCCTGCGTTTCCGACGGCAGCAGCCCGGGACTCTGGACTTGTGTGCCTTCAAGTTTGCTGAGCTGCTGGTTTGTTCCTGAAGAAAGAATGTGGCAGATTGTTTTCTTTACTCTGAGCTGTGATCTTGTCTTGGCCGCAGCCTATAACAACTTTCGGAAGAGCATGGACAGCATAGGAAAGAAGCAGTATCAGGTTCAGCATGGGTCCTGCAGCTACACTTTCCTCCTGCCTGAGATGGACAACTGCCGTTCTTCCTCCAGCCCCTACGTGTCCAATGCTGTGCAGAGGGACGCGCCGCTGGAATACGATGACTCGGTGCAGAGGCTGCAACTGCTGGAGAACATCATGGAAAACAACACTCAGTGGCTAATGAAGGTAGGAAAATCATCTGTCTTTGCGAACAATCCATGCTATTAAGATCAGCTTGGCAGCAGCTCTGGTTTAAACAACCAAAAAAAAAAAAAAAAAGAGGGGGGATTAAGAGGATTATAGCTGGAGAGCAGGTTGCGGGTACCCTAGGATGAAAGATCATTTTTCTTTTATTCTATCCCAGGGTGTGTGGATAGTCCGGGGGTGAAAATAATTATTTGGAAAGAACGTCAGGGTCAACACAGAAAATCCTTAAAGTTGCAAATCTTTACTAACAAAGTAGAGGAAATACCCTCCTGCACAGCTTGTGTGCCGTTCTGCTTGTTTACGTCGCTGAAGCTCGGTAAGACCCATCACCAGGCAGGCACTCAGCTGACTGCAGGCGAGTGAGGGAAGGCTGTGAGCCACAGCCGCCCGCGAGCCAGAAAGACCATGACAACCCTGCTGATGACCGGGACATAACGGATGGAGTAAAGTGCTTTACCAATTTCCTGAATTTATTTACTAAAGTAGGTTGTGGCTCTTGGTGAACGAGAGGAAATTAAATAAAGCAGACCTTATGTTGCTCAGATGCTCAGGGCTCTATGGCTAAGGGCTTGCTGTCTGTAAATAGGGGCAGTTTTCCCAAGCGTCCAGAAAGTATTCAGCACAGCAGCCCCGGCAGTTCCAGCCACCCGTGTGGAATGCGTCCCCACGTGGGACAGTTATGTTCAAGTCATGTCACGGCAGGACGGTCTGACAGTTTGTTCTTGTTCTTGGGGTGATTCCACTGTTTCACAGATGATTCTGATGCTTCCTAGGCTTTTTATGGAGACGTAACCAAAATAGGATATTGAAAGCTTTTTCTTTCACAGATAATTTATTTCACGTGTAAACATGGGAGCTATTTATATATAACCATTGAAAAGCCAAGTGACCCTGGAATTTTCTTTATAGGGACTCCATATATTCTAAAGGAAGTTTAAACAAAATGCATAAATTAATCGTTAAGCGGCATGCTGAAGCCATGACATCACAATGCTTACCTGGCAAGGGATGTGATTATTTAAAACTACACAAAATCTTTTAAAAGTTGGTGAGCCTCATTTAACACGTTACCCTGGAAAAGCACAATTATTTTGTCACTCTTTCATTTCGCCATCAGCTTTTTGTTAGGACACCTTATCTGAATCTCAGAACAGATCTGGACCCTATTCTGTGCTTCTCATTACCCCCCTACCTTCAGAGAGGAAACGACCGAGTTATGTGAGCCATGAGCCTAAATGAATGACCGTGAATGAATGTTCCCAGCACCACTGTGACTGTGTCAAGAGGAGTGTTTAAAACAACAAAAATGTACCCGACTGACCCATCAAATGTATGTTCATCTAAAACTCGCCAGCAATGTCTGTTTAAGCTCCTGGCTAAGTGCTTCAGTAAGTTTCTCTCCTTTCCCAGGTCACTGTGTCGTGCTTTTAAACATCTCCTAAAATTCAGAGCTGCGTAAGTAACTATGCTAAGCTTAGAACGTGTGCAGCAACGCAGGCTGGAATACGGGGAAGGCAAACTGTACCCTCAATACCCGCTTAACGTGAACTTCCTGTTTCTTTGTAAATGGTGACGTTTAACAGCTTTCCCACATCAGCCGTGGTTACAGTCACTGTGAGGGATGAAAGACGCATTACAGTAAACCTTCTAAGCTGCCCGGCTGGCAAGTCATCTCCTATAATAAAGAGCCACGAAACAGGAAAGAATGTTTTGCCAAACGTAAGGCTGGTCACTTGTATTTGCTTAATTAAGCCTACATTAGGTATACCTGAAACTCCATAAGCACAGCTCATGTTTCTTTCTTAGGTAAACTACCCCTTCTCTTGGGTCTTTGAGATAGCATTTAAAGACAGAAGAAGACAAGGAATTCTATGTTAGGTGACCCAAATTTCTTCCTTTCCAGGTTCTCTTAGTCAATATTTGAACAGTAGCAGCACAATGGTATTTCAAAAGTCCGCCTTTGGCTATCTAGCTAAATACTGTTTCACCAAGAGTGACTCAATGTTTATCTTTTCGCCGGCTCCACACCTGCTCTCCCCGCCTAGCTCAGCAACGTGCGCCTGAGAAAGGCAGTTTGCGCTCTCACTCGGTTTACAGGCTTCTGGCTTGGGAATGAAAACAAAAAGGCAAAGATGAAACCCACTTAAAGTGATTAAATGTAACCTCTCTGTTTGTTTTTTGCCTCTGTGTTTTGTCACCTGTGATAATAAACACGGATTTTCTCATGAGGAAGAAAATAATATAAAAGGGAATCATAGATAAACCGCACAGTTAAAGGGTCACGTTACAACCTCACATCCACTGATTTGATTAGCACACAAAGCAGCAGCACAATTCTGGGATTTTCACTGTTTTATATATTTTGTTTTGAGCTATTATTTTTTTGAAAAAATGTTTCCGTATCTCCTTTCTCTCCTGGATCAGCACTAAAAACGAAAGATTGAAAAACAACCCACTGCAAAATCTGTAAACTTTTAGTAAACTGAAACACTTGTCAGGAAGGAAACTAAGACCAAGTTTCTGTTTCATTTTAGGACAAATAAATAGTAGTTCGACCTCTGAGTGGTCAGCATGGCCAAAGGAGCTTAGACTGAGAGAAAGCAGGTTTCAAATCATCAAAAGATCCCACGCTGCCCCTTTAATCTGTCCGGCAAAGGAAGTGTCAGGCTTCTGAATGAACAGGAAGATGAATGGAACAGTACAGGGCCGCTCACTTGCTGTGTAGTAGTGAAACAAGGAGAAGATAAATTCATGCTCGCTGGCACACCAGACACACCGCAATGGCCCAAAGACCAATCATGCCACGTCTCTCCTGCTAATCCTGCAAATAGTCTAAACCTGTGCCCTGGTGATATTAAACACACTCTATAGAGACTCATAAATAATTTAGCAAAATGGATTGTATTTTTCTAGGAGACCAAAGGGATTTTTTTCTTGATAAGAGGAAATATGGAAAGGAAATAACTATTTCACACTGATGAATGCCTCATACCTATAAACAAAGTCTACAGACACTTTAAAACAGAATGATTTGAAAAACAAAGTTGATCCCCATTACAGATGCAAACATTTCCTCTGCCATCTTTTTCTTTAAGTGACACAAGAACAGGGTGGAAACTGTAAAGGTGAATTGCAATCCTTTTCTTTCTTTAAAAGGAATAACAATGGATCTTTTTTGTAAGATATTAGAGCTACTAGTCATGAATCAATGCATAGGAAACCAGGCAATTATGCTCTTCAAACATAACTGGGAGAAACAGATGGTGAGAGGCTCATAGAGGAACCCAGCCCACCAGCCCCACCCTGCCCTTGCTAGGGACTGTGTGTGTGTGTGTGTGTGTGTGTGTATGTGTGTTGTCATGTGTGGCTACAAAACACTCCTTAGCTGTGTATTAAAACAACAACAATAAAACCCAGGGCTTGGTTCATAAGAGGAAAGAAAAAAATCCCATCCCTTTTGCAGCCACTGGTCTGCGGTAGTGGAAGACAAGAAGCGTGACTGTCTCCATTGGCTACATCCTGGGTGGTGAAATAGGATTGTGCTCAGTGTTAGAAACAAATTTTGTACATCCAGATAAACTGATTAAACCCTCTATTTAAGATTGCTAGAAAAAACCTGCCATTATTCATTATATATTAGTATTACTTTATAGTAAGGAATGAAGAAAAGACAAGTTTCACTATGGTAGGAAAGGTACAATATATTTAAGTTTGGAAAATACAAATATAGTTTACTATATGTCATATGCAGTATGTATATACATAGTACAATATGTGCCTATACAGTATATAAATGTTTCCTATATATGGATTATATATTATACATATACCATTTGTTTTCTATGGCTAAGCAGTCTTTGTTTACTAAATGTAGTTGTCTGACACACTGGATTAACTATTTAGATATCTATCAGTCTATGGGGAGATGATCATTTGCTTGCAGAGTCTAGAAGTAGGAAATGGATTTCCATAATCTTACATTCTATTTAGATTCTATCAATATCGAAGTCTGAAAATCTTCTGATTTTATTCAATGTGGCTCTTTACAGTTGTCAAACAGGTTGAAATCCACGAGTTTATTTGTAAGCCAGTTACCATAGATGGAACCTGAGAAAGATAATGGTCTTATCAGTGGTGATCAGATGCTCAGGCTGGTCCATGGTGCTTATTTTAATCCATAAAATAACTAAAATTTTGCATATTTAAAATTGAAAAACAAGGGTTCAAATCAACCCTACCATGATGGGAGCGATTTAAGAAACAAAACAAAAATATGAAAGTCGGATATGGGCAAGGTTAAAAAAAAATAGGTCAGGCTATTAAAATGGTAGAAATGGGAAGTAGATTCTCCTTCCCCAGACTTCCATCCCTCTCTTAGAGATGAGCACTCAGAGATTTGCACCAGCCCTTTATTTAAAGTGCCAAATTTAATACGAAATGTACAGCTTTCCTTCTTCTTAAAACACGAACAGTGGCATTACAGCAAAATCAAGATCTCTTCCAGGCCACACATGACATGACAAGAGGTTGGAGGGGAGATTATATTTAGGAACAAAAAGCAAAATTTGCAAGTTTGAGGTAAAGAATATATGGATTAAAAGTGTGGGGGGGGATGGGGGGGAGAGACAGAGACACCATCTGTGAGGGGGTCGTCAAAATTAGGAAGCGGGTAGGACATGGCGCAACTGTTTTGACAGGGAAGAAAGGAGGTGGTTTATATCTTTCCATATCTGGCCACAAAATGACAGCAGGGCCTGGACAGCTTTGTGTATTTCCTGAATTGAGATCGAGAGGATGCATTCAATGAATCAGGAACACGGACAGACTGTTTTCCAATTAGCTGTTCACAGTTTGCAGGATGTTTACGGCACTTAATGACTAGTCGGCAGGCAAACCATTCTCTCTCCCTGTATGTGTGTGTGTGTGTGTGTGTACACACTTATGTCAGATCAAATAGATAAAATATACATGCGTCCTAC